ATTCTTGATGACAAGACATGGCACTGATTCCCTCATAAGAAACTAATCTATAATACAATTCCCAGATGACTGTTGATGACTTTAAAGCTGTATGCTACCTTACCGTGACTTGTGTTGATCTGCTTTATAACAGAGTATCACAACCAGGAAAAAACACAACACAGACATACTTAGTCTTATTTAATTATTGATATTTTAAAGATGCACAAGAATGTTTGATAGTTCAGTTTCAATAGGAGGTAACTAGCTCAAATCACCTATATGTAATTGTGGAATGCAGAATAAAGCCTTAAATATCTATTTAGTTCATGTTTTCATCATATTCTTGAATTTATAAAAGAAATTGGAAAACAAAAATCGTTGTGAAAGTTTAAATTTTGCAAAAGTATTTCACTGAAATCGGTCTATGAAATCCATTAAGTTTGGCACAGGCAGCGATGGCGTTTTACAAATAGCTGTTTTTACTAAACAAATTGATATATTTAAGAAAAAAAAGCATCATTTGGAGCTAAATTGTAAGACAAACAGTCTTAATAACTAGGTCAATCTTCTAAGTAGGTAGACTTTATGAACATGTGCTTGCATTGAAAACACGTCCATGTTGTGGAATTTGAAAGATAGGATCTATCCTAGATTAGACATTGCTATAAAACATAATTTCTTAGACAGTAATTCAATACACTGTAGACTGCAAAAGTCAAATGTTAGGTTTACATGGTTATTGTGTTGAAAATGTTTCATTTGCACCAATGCCAATTATAACATAATTTTACATTGTATTTGATCCCCAATATAGACAAATGATTGACAGCAGGTAAACCTAGTACAAATGTGTGTATTGAAATCCAGTTATAAAATGGTTTGTGCAAGTTTGTCTTGAGTTTGAAGTTAAATTTTACAATGAAAGGAATTTACCACTTGTTTTATTTGTATGATTCATAGGTATGTGTACATGGTATTTTATTTATGAAGATTTACATTGAATAGATGTATAAGATTGTAATGCAAGGGAGTTGCAGATTTAAGGTAAAATTAGTAGTAACACAATTTTGTAATGGTTATGCAATCTCTTTGATCCAGAAAAAGACACATCCTAGCCTAAATAATTGTTTAAACATGAACTTTAATTTGATTTATTTTCAACTTGTTGAGGATACATCAATTTGTTATTGTTTTCTTAGTGCTTTGTTATATTTAAAACATTTAGAAAATATATATTCAAAATAATAACTTTACAATTGTTTGTTTTTAATATTGAAAGTTTAGATTCGTATTTTGAAAAAAAAAATCACCAGAAAGGCAGATCCGTATTAGAGCTACCTAAGGTAGAGTGTCCCACCAATTTCCATTTTTTGTAAGGCTTTTTCATCTAAATGTCTATGCTGTTTCCTCCATATTCCTATCAAGACAAGTATTGACTATTTAAAGGGATTCAAACATTTTAGAATTAACCCCATATATATTGCAGGAATGTGTGACCGTAATCGATGCATCTGTGGATCCGATTCAGTAACATAGTTTTTTGTGTGTGGATGAAGTTATGTATAACATTTGCTATGATATATGTGTAACCATCCCCAAGT